TCTATACATATCTAAACATAGAAAAGGTAAAATAAAAATGGTATTATAAACTTATTGGACCACTATCACATGTGCATTCCATCATTCACTGAAGCATTGTTATACAGTACCTGACTGTATATTATTATTAATAAACTCCTGAAAGTCTCTGAGCCTCAGTTTCCTCATTTGTAAAATGTAAATAATACCTGCCTCAAAAGGCTGCTGTGCTCCTTATGTGAAATGGCATATATGTAATAATTTACATACTCCTTGGCTTCCCTGAGGTAATTTTGTTATAAAACAAAATGGTCAACTACTCTGAGTTTAGAAAATTGAGAACTAAAGACCAAGAACTCATCAGCATCTGAGAGAGGAGCTGCTTTGATCCTAAAGATAAATACTGGTCACTCAGGATAGAAATATTCCTGGAATAATTGTGTAAGAATACCCTTTGGAATATCCAATCCCATCTCTAATTCTATATAAACTAAAAAATGTTACAATCCATATTCAAAGATCTACCACCTGAAGGGTGAAGGCTGAATCAATGAACAAAGTCTACATTTTTTAGATTATGTTGTCCATTATATACTAGAAAGGTGAAATTCCCATTTACAAATACTGCTGGCCTTCTGTATCTATGGGTTCTGCATCAATGATTTAATCAAACTCTGACTGAAAGTATTCGGCGGGGGGGGAACTCAAAAAGTTTCAAAAAGCAAAACTTGACTTTGCTGTGCCTCAAGTGTTGCGTTGAATCATGTGAATGAAGTGATAAGTAGGCTTTGTATTCGGTATTATAAGTAATATAGAGCTGATTTAAAGTATATGGGAGAGCGTGCATAGGTTATATGCAAACACTACATATTTTATTAAAGGGACTTGAGCTTCCATGAATTTTGGTATCCATGGGGGGGTTCTGGAAACCAACCCTCCACACATACCAAGGGGCGACTGTCTCTTCTGAGTTTGACTAATCTTCACATAGATGTTTCTCCTCCATGTGAAGTGAAAAAATCAAATTTCTGAACTTACAATGTTTAATAGACCATTAATCTGTAGGAGCATTTTCAGCCGACAGGACCTGCACAGAGGGAAGCACCAGTCTGTTCATTGTTAATTTCTTGATTTTAATCTTAGCTAGAAACAAAATCAAATAGATCAGTGCTTCTCTAAGATGCATGACTACAACAATTTGTTAAAATGCATATTCATATTCTTTACACCTATTCAACACCTACTGAATCACAATTTTAAGAAAAGGAGCTTAAAAGACTTTGTAGATTTAAGAAGCACCATAAATGATTAAGTCCGGAAAATGCTGTAATAGAATAATCATGCTGCCATATGTCAAAATATTAATATAAGATTATCGTGATTACGAAACCAAAATTATAACGCTTATTGATACTATAAAAACAAGGATAAGGAAGAACACTGTCAACTACACTAACCACACATGGACAAAAATGGCTTATTTCAATTCTTTCCAATGCTAGGCAATCTAACGACTAACTACTCTATCAAACCTGAAATCATAACTTTAAAATCTCAAGTTGCTGAATGATGAATAAATTACAAAGAAGTTAATATAAAAGCTCTTTCTCCAGTCACCAGTACCTGTAGTCTAAATATAAACCATACATATTAGGACTTGAGTATGCATGGAATAAAAAAAAAAAGAAAGAAAAAATAAACAGTACATCCGATAAACTTGACCATCAAATAACTCTTAGCAGTGTAATGGATCACCATGAGATCGCCATGTGTAAACTACTGATCAGAGTGTAAGTATTCTTATAGAATGCACTAACATAAAGGTGGATCTAGATGTGCAGGGCTGCCATGTGACACACGAGGAGGCACTAATCACATTAAAAACTATGTGAATGTTTTATGTGAATCCAAAAATAATGCAGAGATTCTGCCTTAGGGAAATGAAGTATAGTACAAGATCCAAACTTACTGAATGAAAAAATAAGTAGGCAATTTTTAGCAAAAATATTTTAGAGAAGTATTCTAACTTTTGAAAAAGGCTTTATGAAATGATCCCAATGCTTCTACTTTATTAGCATTTGATTTTTATCTATCAAAATACAATCTGTGGAAAGTATGAACATTTTATATTTAATGACTTTTAAGAGTAACCCAAAAGGTCTCTAATTTATTAAGGTATCAACTTTACTCTTAAGGAGTCAAAATTCCCATGGATACAGAAAAAATGATATGCAGAGAAACTATTCAGAGACTCGCGGACTATCTAATTTAGAGAATGCCTAAATTCTTCTGCTTCCATTTTCAGCTGCTGCTCTGCCCGTGGTTTATCATTACTATTTATTTCAAGGATAGCAAGGTGAATATATAAGCTAAAAGTCATATGTATCTGCTATTTTTGCAATATATATAATGAGAACTGTAAAATGTTTGATGGGAGAGGGGGCTGAAATAGAAGCTGTTAAGGGATTTTATTTTCTTTACATCTCATTACTACAGATAACAGAGTTGATTATAGAAAAGAACTCCCACTGACAGTCATACAAATTAATGGAAATAGCTTACCTTTGTCCTGAAGCAGTTGCAATAGGTGATGGGCCATTAGGGGCTCGTGGTTCTTCACATGTACTCATTTCCATTATTACTTTATCTAGGGACTAATAAAAATGTTAAAAATGCAAACAATTAGACATTATATTTTATGTATATTTTACATAATACTATTTTCTCTTTCATTTCTTTAGGAGCAAACAGCAAGTGAGAAGAGTTCTTTTAAGTGTCATTCTAAACATCTAAGAAGACAAATGCTAAAAAAGAAAACAAAGCAGTCATTTATTATTTGGTGGGAAAGCTATGTACATTACAGCAGTATGGGCATAAAACATTAAGAAGTAGCTTTTAATTGCTGAGATCATCAGATTTTATGGAAATGCAATCTCTAATCCCAGACGTACTACATTATTATTTGATAAGTAAGATTATATATTAGTAAACAGGCTTGAACCACTGTTAAAAAAAATTTTTTTTTTCAGACAGAGTCTCACTCTGTGGCCTTGGCTAGAGTGCAGTGGTGTCATCATAGCTCACTACAACCTCAAACTCCTGGGCTCAAGGGATCCTTCTGCCTCAGCCTCCCAAGAAGCTGGGAGTACAGGCATGAGCCACTGCGCTCGGCTAATCACCCTTAAAAATCTAATTCCCATCTAAGATCTGAGACATAAGACATAAAACTACAGAAAATAAGAAATAAGCAGGAAATGTGAAAGAAATAAACACTCCCATAATGAAAAAAGTTCTTTCTTAGGGTAATACTTTTTTCCTTGAAGAAAGATCTACTGTCCTTCGCAGTCATCACTAACATAACTCCAGTCATTATTTCCTATTTTATATACAGCATTTATTGTCTGAAACTATCTCATTTGTTCACTTGTTCATTGTTAGTTTCCTCTATTAAAAGATAAGTTCTCTCAGGGCACAGGGCAGGACTCAGTAAGTATTTATGGAGTGAATCAATAAATGACCAAGTGATCAATTCTCTTTAACTTTCCTTAAAATGCAAATTATATTAAAGAACATATTACTTAATTTACTAGATCAGCAAAAACAGAAATTCACAAAAGTCAGGATCAAACGTTATTAAAAAAGGAATTCCATAGTATGTCAATAAAGAGTTAAATGATGTAATAAAATACTATACTAACTCAGAACATAACATTCTAGATCTGAAAAACTTTAAAAATCCTATTTTGATGTTTAAATTTGTCATTTAACAGCTGAGAAAACTAAGTTCCATCAAAAGCAAATGAAAGCCAATTGGTGAAAAACCCAAGAAATTATGTTTTCTTGAAACAAAAGATTAATATTAACAGAGTAGCTAGATAATGTGAACATATTAATGTATTTACTTCTGAGGTGGTTTCAGAACTCACCAAACAGATAGGATGTGTTTTCAGTTTTGTCCATGGGATCTACAAATAAAAAAATCTCTTTGAAATGAATCATTAAAAAAAAGGCAATATCAACACGGTTGCTCTCTTAATACAGTGACAGACATATCAAATTACATCCAATGATTTTTTTCTTAAATTGCAAAATAATAACTTCAGCAACTCATTTATACTTTTGAAATCAGATATAACCATTTTATATAAGAAAATATTACTAGCTGTATTTTCTTAGTCATTTTCTTAAATGGGAACTTCCAAGTTCTTTGAAGTTTCTTTTTTCCCAGTCCTTAAAACACATTTTCATTTCATAATTTAAACTAAGAGTCGCCAGCAAAGCATAATCAGTATCCTGTTCATGTAATAATCTGCGTTTACTCCTAGAATTCTTCCCAAATATTTTATAAATATGCAAGACAAAATACAAAAGTGAAAGCATTAATATAAAATGTAGGCAATATCAAATAAATAATGTTCAACTATATCCTGCTCTAAAAATATCAAGTCTTATAAATATTTGGCTTTATGGAGGACAGAACAAAAATTTAAAGTGATGATTAAAGGACATGGGAACCTTTTCCATAATCTTTTCTTAGCAGCTCAAATTTTAATTTATGAAACAAATCAGGGTGCAGTATTTCTACTGAGCAGATTCTCTAACTAAGCCTGGTCTCTAAGAGCAAGAAATGGTACAAACCGTCATATGATTAGAGACAAAGATAAGTAGAATAAGTTGTAGTAAGTAGGAATAACAATAACACTAAATAGAAAACTTTAAAAATCTCAAAATGAGAGCAAAACAAATTTAAAAAGGGATAAAATTGAAAATAAAACTATGCGTAGAGAAAGAATTTATTGGTTCTTATGTCTTCGTTTGAAATCAAGTATTTACTTGCTACAAATTTAAATTGTCCCTTCTGACAATAAATCCTATGAAAAAATCTATCTTTAAATATGTACCAAATGGAAGCAATTATTTTATTAACAAACTATTAATAATTTTATTTAAAATATCAATACAATTAAATTTTAAACAAAAATTAAGACCTATATAGCATTAATTAATAAATGACTTCAATTATATAAGGCATACAGTCATGTAATCATTTGTGCAAAGCCATTTTTCTTTCCAAAGTATGTTAATAAAAATGCTTCTTTATAGAATTATATGTAACATTTTTTTAAAAGATAGACATGAAATGTAGAATGAAAACATAAAAGGCCTTCCACAGATATCAAACCACAGATAAAAATCTCACCCTGATGGATGCTTTATTACAGAACACTTTGTTGATAGCAAGCCACGTCGGCAAATCCAACATGTTCTGGAGCACCTCTTCATCCAACTCCAAATTCTTCAGTTCACCTTCTCCTTTAAGGGTACTTAGATTGATCTTATCAGGAGACAAATTTTTGGTAAATCTGAAAGAGAATATACATTGACATTTATTTTTGTCAGTTACTGTATCCCAGAGTCATTCTTACAAATATACAGAATATTAAAAGTATAATAGCACAAAGAAGCACAAAACTGCAGGGAGGCTCTATTTTAGAGCCTATTCAATGTGTTCGATGTGTTTTGATCTCTGTTGCCCACAGTTCTCTTTCACAACGGCTACAGTTTTTTTGGCACACATATGAATATCATTTTTCCATATATGATCTATCTCTCCTTGGTTCTTACTGCCTTTCAAACACAATGAGTATTCAGTGAGCATCCACTATATTCCAGACACTAAGCAAAGCAGTAGGGATGACTTTGAGGCATCCTCTATTACATTTTGTTCTCTTCACTACATATTACAGAGAGAAAGGAATAGATCTATGCCACTAGCCAACATGCAAAGAAGATAAAGGAATGAGAGCACCCTTCAGAAGCAGCAGTTGTGGTGGTGGCAGTACCAACAGCAACAACAAAAGCAGACATCATTCATCATCCCAAATGACGATCAAAGAATATCAATACTCCTGTCAGAATCATGCAATGATTCCCAGCATTAGAAACTGACCCAAATCAGCCAGGCGCCGTGGTTCACACCTGTAATCCTAGCATTCTGGGAGGCCAAGGCGGGAGGAATGCTAGAGGTCAGGAGTTGAAGACCAGCCTGAGCAAGAGTGAGACCCTGTCTCTACTAAAAATAAAAAAATTAGCTAGGCGTGGTGGCACCCACCTGTAGCCCCAGCTACTCAAGAGGCTGAGGCAAGATTATCGCTTGAGCCCAGGAGTTTGAGGTTCGGTAGGCTATGATCACGCCACTGCACTCCTGCCTGGGTGACAGAGCAAGACCCTTTCTCAAAAGAACAAAAAATCCAAAAGAACAAAAAGAAGAAACTGACCCAAATCATTCCAGGAATAAACAATGGTACATATATCTTGTTTTAAAAGGTCTCTTAGGAAGGAGATTATTCAATTCTATTTAGCAACAGATTTTGGTGTTTTCTTTGTGAGCTTCTTAAAAACATCAATTATTTATAACCCTAATTAGCTGTACAAATGCCATTTATCCTTTTTAAAGGAGTTAAAATAACAAGCATAAAGTATTCAATTAAAATGCCAAAAGTCACATAGGAGACTAGACCCTGAATTCTAATGAAAGAACTCAGATTCTCTATAATGACTTAAAAATCAAAGCCCTTAAATTTAAAAAGATAGGAAAGAATAATAGTTAACATAATAGTGAATATTTTCCAGGGTTTACAGTATACCAAGCTCTTTGAATACATGCATTACTATCTCATCTAATTCCCATGATAACCCATTAGGGTTAATCCTAATTTTATCCTCATTTTTGAATGAGTAAACATAACAAGAATCTTGAACATACTTGCCTAACATCACAATAATAATAAACTGAACATGTACTTTAAAACTTTCATATACATTACTTTATTTAATCCTCAAAAGAACCCTAAAAAATGAAAAAGTGCTAACTTTACCCAAGTACTTTTTCAAAAGTAAAACTACTGACAAGATTAACTATTGCCTGACAAAAGAGTTAGTCAGTCTTTTACTTTTTTTGGAAGTTAAATATCAAAGCAACTAAATGTACGAGATATTTACACGCCTTACATGTTAACAAGAATGCCAATCAATACACACATTTCTCCAGTGACTTCAAACCAGAATTTCTTGTGCCAGATTCTATATGGATTCATATCTCCTCACAGAATGTGAATTATGAAATACAAAGTTGATTTTTAACCCAAATTTGACCAACGATGCTGTGTTGTATTATTCTTACTAATCGTGCTTGATTCAATACCATGAAGTTTTCCAGTAGGCTTCCATTCCTAACCATAGGTAAACTTAAAAAAGCCCTGCCACTTCCTTGATGTAAAATATTAGAGCTGGAAGGGAGCATTCAATAAGCATTTATTAAGGGTTCTTTATTCAGAAACATACACTGGCAAGCAGTACACTCAATGCTCATGCCCTTGTGGAGTTTTCAGTTTAGCTCGTGAGACAGAAGATCAAATGGCACGACTAAGAGAATACAGGAGGGGTCCTAATCCAGAGCTTCTTTGAAACAGGGACTTTTGAGCTGATATCTAAAGGATGAGTACAAGTGAACTAGGGTACGAAGAGAAAGGGGCAGAGAAAGAAAGAGTACTCCACGCAGAGGGAATAAAACATACAAAGGTTCTGAGGCAGGAAGAAGCATAGTATAAAAATAGAACTGGAAAAAAGACCAGTATCTAGTATGTACCAAGAAGGCCAGGAGAGCAGAGGATAAACCTGGAAGGGCAAGGGAGAGGGAGGCAGATTATACAAGGCTTTGAGTATTTTATTTATTCATTTGTTCAATAAATTAGTTGATACCTACAACTTAACAGGGACTAGGGATTTGGAAATGAAC